CTTAACAGCATGAGGTTTAGGACACCCTGTGTTGTAAAATTAAATAAAGCAATTGAATGAAAAAAGTTGTGGAACTTGCTGACAGAGGATGGTTTTGGATGCTGAAAGTAAAAGCAGCTTCAAAACAGGGCTAAACAGATCACTCTCCCATCAAGAACTAGAGGAACCAAAGATGAGGGAACAACTTCCAGTTCCTGAAGTCTCTAAGTAATACAGCATTCAGAGCTGGGAAAAAGTATCAGACGGTATTTACCTTACACCTGCCCTAAGTACTTGCTGTGGGTCTTCTCAAGAGCGAATTTGGGGTGAGGGGATCTGGAGAATGGTGGCATTGGATCCAACATAAAATATATTTATCTGTTAACACCGAGAAAAGCCAGAACATGTCTCAGGTTCTTCCCTTTGCTGTTTCACTCCAGCCATCAGAACACAACCTTGACGCAATGTAACTGCGGAACACATTTTGGAACACTGATCACCCCCCTTTTTCTCACTCCCTGGCCATTTCACATACCCCTTGGTGAGACACATTTGGGTGAACAAGATTGAGATTGTGCTGCCTCTCCTACTACAACTGTTCTAGGATGATTCCTATCCTCCTGAATACTTCCAGTTCTTTCCATAATGCTTAGGAGCTTGAAAGGGGATAGAAGATTTAAGCACTCGTTTCCTGTATCTCAATTTCAATGCATGTGTGCGTGTTTCCCTTGCATCCGAGAGCACTTTTCATAAGTAACAGAAGTCACACAGAAGTCTAGTGCTGCCTTCCTCGCTTTATTACCTGTGCTCATTCTTACAGACTCCCCTTCGCCACCTCCCCCGAGAGCTTTCCTATCTTTCGTGTACAAATGACTTCACTTTCTATTTGCAAGAAAAGAACAAAACCACAAGCTGAGTTTATCACCGATGTAAGCAAGACTGGCCACAGCCTTCTCAGTTAGCTGGTTACATAATTAGTCTCAGCTGTCTTAAATGAAATGTATCGCTATCTGCTTAACATCACACAGAAGATTAAAAAGGTGTTTGTAAAAACTCCTGAAGTTAAATGACAATACCTCTGTGAAGGTTTTCTTTTTTATTTAAGTATGTGAGATTCCTAAACATAATTGATCCATTTTGCATGCAACTACTTACTTTGTATCAGACCTTTAGATCAACATGAGCAACTACAACTACTTTTGATGGTTCACTTCAGACCCTTGTTTATGATAGCAAGGACAGCCAGTGTTTCTTCTGAAATTCTACATCTTACTATCGTGGGCAGTCTTTCACCGATCCTGCTTTATTTCAGCTGCAACTGCCCTTGGTTCTGTACCAAGGCTTGATTTGTGTCCAGTTAAGTGTAAGGTGAAAATGCTGTCTGAAATGGAATCCATCTTTTCTTTTAAAGCTGCCAGTTTAAATCAAGAAATTGGAAGAAGGAATTGGTTCATACAGAAAAGGGGGGAAAGAAAAAAAAAAAAGGCAGGGACTGCTTAGGCATAGATCTAGCCCTTGGAAGCCAAGTTGATACCTGAGTTGGGGACATCGCTGTGGTTACTATTTCTGGTTGGCATATTCATTTTATGAAACAAAGCAGTTTTGGGTCAGTTTTGCAAGGAAACCAAGAAGGTAAAGAATCACTCTTTCTTGTCACCAAGAATAAAGCAAAGGATGAATATATTTGTGGAAAGACTAAAATGCTTAGTTTATAAAATCTAAATAATCTATAATTAGAAAGTGTTATTTGCTAATTATATGTTTATTTTTCCTGTGTTTGGAGATACCCAGATGCAAGTTATGGTCACCTCTGTATAGTGGCGAGAAAAAAAAATGTACTTTAAGGGACAGTTCTCTCAACTGGTAACATCTACTTTGAGCTTGTTATCTGTATCTACATTTAATCAATCACATCCTTATGCTAGAATTTAAACTGTTCTAGATGGAGATTTTGGTTCTTTGTAAATTCAGAAGCTGCTCTTGGGGAGCAAGGAGAAGCTATGAGAATTCCTAGTAAATGCTAACTGGCCAAATTCTGCAGTCAAACAGGTTTACTTCACTTTTACTTGGTGGATAGGCAAAGAGGCCAAATGGAAAGGGGCAATGTGGGGGGAGCATTATCACAGGTTTCCGGAGCATAATACAGATCTCCATGGATACTTTCCATTATATACCCTTCAAGACTGGAGTTCTTTGAAAAGGCTGTTACAGATCTCTACTTCTTCCCCTTCCTACCTTTAGTACTACAAAGTATTTCTTGCTGCAGTCTGTAATTAGTTATTACACCTGCCTACTCTTAAAAGAAGCAAAAGCTAGAAGATTCTTACGATGACACAAAGTATCATCTTTAGTACCATCTACACTTTTTATGCTAAGAGGAAAAAAAAAAGTCTGTTTACTAAATTTATTTCTAAAGTTGCTAATGTACTGAAATTAACTGTTTAAATAAAATAAATATCACTGTTGCAGGTTCATCATTTCATTATGTATTAGGGAACTGTCTGCTGCTGCAGGGATTGTTCCAGCACAAACTCAGCTTGATGAAAACTCCCACTGTTAACAGAGCTTGTGCTTTATTACAGTCTGAGAGAGGGTAGTGCAAAGAAAAGGGGGTTTTCTGCACATTACAAATATGAGAAGGGTTGGGAAAAAATGGAAGTTTTAGCAATCACTAAGAATTTATATTAAAAATAATAAAGTAAACCCAACACAAAACCCACCCACTCAATAACTTACTTCAGTACTTCAATGAAAGCGTTCAGCCCTTTTGAAGTCATTCTTTTCTCAAGGGCAACAATGCCTGAACTGAAGATGGAGACGCTCCCATAACTCCTACAGAAGGATCAAGGCTTACATCCGAAAAATAGCAGCTTTTAAGAATTACGTGTTTCGATTTTAAGGCCTTTTGGGCCTGCATATTATCTTTAAAATAAATTCTAACATAGTTATTAATTCTTAGCCAAGCTGACACTGAAACAGTGTGGTCTTAAGAACTAAGCCCTTCAAAAAAAAGGAAATTGCAGGTACAAATAAAGTAGAACAACTTTAACTGATAAAATTTTACTTTTAAAAATAGTGACTAATTCTTGTGCTCTCTGGAGAAGTTTTAACAAAAAGCATGTGACTTTTTGTCATTAAGTATCCATACGAATAAGATGCAAATTGGGGGCTACAAAATGCCATCACTTCAACTTTCCACATGAGAGTTCCATAGGAGCTACAGTAAAGGCTGCCTTCAGAGGAGCCAAGCCACTTGTTTCCAGAGAACTGGGATTTGCAGGTAAGCTTGGTCACTGCCAGCACTCCCGCTGGTATGATGTGGCTCTACAATGCTTTAAGCCAAAGGCCGTATTTACGCTCAAGCCTTGAGTGAAAATTGTATCACTTGTTTAAAAAGGAAAAAAAAAAAAAGTTTCTTCATCCTCTACCTCCCTCTCTACTGGTTTGGAGAGATTAAACATCTCCTTTACAAAGGTCAAGGTTATATTCACAGTTAAAATGTAAGGGAAAAAATTGAGATAATAATTAACCAGTAACCATTTAAACGTGTTTCCCAATAAGCTGCTTCAAACTCACCTAGTTCGAACTATACATAAACTAGAACAAATTGTTTTATTACTGCAGAAAAAACACGTGCTGTTCTCATTTAACCCTAGAAGAACAAAGAAATGCTGACTGTTGATAGAATTAAAAGTTACCTTTTAAAATACTGGAGACAAAATGCAGTATTATTTTTTCCCAAGTACACTATGTAATAACTTACTTAAATAGTACAGGTGTAAACATAATTAATGGAGTAACAATTGAAATACCTGAAACCATAAAATGTTTAGAGAAATGTCATGTGGAAACCAAAGCTACCTGGGAAAGAATTCAACAAATTTTCCTGAGGTTGAATAGAGTTGTAGTTGAGGTTGAGTTCAGTGAAATGAAAAGAACCAGAATCCAGGCTTAAATCCAAAGAGCTACATGGAAAACCAATCTTTTCACATGGCATGTTCTGTGGTATATTTATGATTACAATTGTATCAATTAATTTTTATTCAATGGTTTTCTTAAATCCATCTGAAAATAAAAGGCAGTGTTGACTACCACTAGAAAATTGCAAATAAAATGTTTAATTTCAGAAACTGAGTTCACCATTTATAAATACACTAAAACATAGTAAATGCAAAATTAGATTAGGCATAGGTACAGTATTTTAACAAAGCTACAACTTTTCTAAAAGGTCATAGGCAAATGATGACTTGTTTCCCAAAAAGTATTCAATGAAAACTGAAATGAGAAGATTAATCTTTCTAGAGTTAAAAAAACATGGAGAACGTTCCTTTCAAATTAAAATGCTGGCTATTTTTTTTCCATCTTATTTGAAGTTTTGAGGGCTCTATATCCCATTTGCCTGATGGACACCAACAGTTAAGAATCAACCCTGCTACATAAAATTCTAAGCAGTGCACCATATCCATAAGGCTATTACTGAAAATTAGAAGATCAGTTATTTCTGTACTAGGAGCTTTAAGACAGGCTGTTCTACACAATTGGAATTATGTTAGGAGTAAGGGCTCAATTTTTACAATAGGGAACTTTATAGTTTCGATGCACTAAAGATTAGAAAAGGCTTTAGAATGACGTTAGAGTCTTCATGGTAAATTTCTTGCCTTTTTTGTACATGGCATTAAATAACAAGCATTTATTCACAAACTTTGATAAGACTTCCAAAGAGCTTTCATAAATACCCAGAATATTTCTGTAGTTCAGTTAAAATGTAAAACCTGAACAGGAGAACCCAGAATGAGAAGTTTTACTACAGATTGCTGTACAACTGACATTCCATATCATCTCAAATCTAAGATTTATTTGCAGATATTAAGTCAATAGTCTCCTGTAAACACATCTTCCTCAACAACTCTTCTTAATCCTTTAAGTACTTTAGGGCTTGCAGTTAAAAACACCACATGATAAAAAGACGGCTTGAACCCCATCTTTCACGTACAGCTTTCTTTTGAAAACTACAAAAGCTGTTTTGTTGCAATTAAAGCAATGTTCAACTAAAATACAGTACCTGGTTTATGGTTTTTACATAATAATTGAATAAAAAACTACAGAATAGAACTGTTTACATCTTTTTTTTTTTTTTTGCCATTCTATTTAAACAAATGACTGAGCTTTTTTAAAGTTCATTTACAATTATGGATTAAAACCTACATAATTTTGTATAATTTGACAAGACAGGCTATCTCTAGTGTGAACTTTTAAAAAACATATATACAATATCTGGCCTGAAGTACTATGAATAAGGCACATGTAGACATATTGAAAGCTGAAAAAAATGAAACTAAAATTTGGAATTACAGTCACTGATTAGATGTCATACATGGCCCCTATTGGAGCAATTTAACAATCTGAGTTATAGATAGTTAATATCCAGTGAGCAACAATAGATTTAGTCTAGCAGTTTGTTCATTAGTTTCAATACTGGAAGTATATTAAAGGAAGATTCACTTTCAAAAAGATAAGCTTTTCAAAGTGTTCAATCATTAACCTTGACTGACTAAAGTTGTTGCTTTCATTGGATGTGTTGAACAATCTCTCTGAAGGAACAATGCTTGGTGGACAACCCAAGAACCTGACAGCCAATTTTGACAGTACTGGCCAAGATGACTTCTTAAAGTTCCAGTAAGTTAAAGGATCACAGTTATGCTCAAGCACTTCTTCCTCCAAGTAAGAAAGCACCATTTCCTCTGGTAACTTTGCTCTCTCTTTCAGGTCTTTTGTTTTCTTCATGTCACCCATGAGTGACCAAAGATTATCTTCTCCATATGAATTTGTAGATGGTGAACCTATATCACATCCATTGGAAACAGGTTTATCATCATCTGAGGTAGAACTCATTATTTCCAGCTCCCTGATTAAGTCTTGTTTATATTGTTCAGCCTCCTCTTCTGTAAATAAGGATGTTTTATACCGGGGATCCAGAAGTGTAGCAAAAATGTACCTTGGATCATGAAGCGTGGAGGACAATCTACTCACCATAGCTTCTTTCAAAGACTTCAGCATAGTATCTATGCCCATTGTTTCCTCAAATAGCATTTCTATTTTCCTGTTAAGTATATGGATCATTGGAATCACCTGGCTTAGAGTAGACATGTGTGTACTCATCTCCCTACTTGCAGCTTCGAAAGGTTTGAGAGCATGACACACCGACTGCATGACTTCCCACTGATCACAACTTATTAGCTCCCGAAAGCTGCACTCTATTGACATTTCATCAATTGCTCTTTTCTGTTCAATAAGACGTTCAAGCATATGAAATGATGTATTCCACTTCGATGGAACATCTTGTATTAGCTGATGTTGAGGCAACTCATACTCTTTCTGCAACTCAGCTAACTTCTCTTTTGCTTTTGCTGACCGATGGACGCGTTCACAGATCTTTCTTGCAATACTAAGCAAATTTTGAACCATTCTCTGGCTTTTAATAGCCTCATTTACAATGACATTAACTGTGTGACTAAAACATTGTACACTTGAATGATCACCTTCATTTAAGGTTTTTTCTATACTCTGATTATCAGTAACAGTAATCCCGATCTGAAGGCCAATGGAAGTAATCCATGTTTCCCACCAGTACTCTAACTGCTTTTGAATACTGATTCCATTGTAGTCGCAATCGATCTGTGATACATTTAATAGTGCTGAACAATGGTAATCCTCACACTGTGGTCGAAATGAAGACTCAAATGTTACCCAATGAGCTGTCAGGGTTAGATATTCTCGTGTTTGGTTGCTCATCCATATTCCGGACGTAAAATGGATCACTCCACTTTCAGCTTCTTTAAGATGTGAAATAATTATTTGTTTTACATTATCATACATATCTGGAATTGCTGTCCTAGAAAAGTAAGATGGAGAAGGTAAAGAATACTGAGGTTGCAAGTATTCAAGCAGCCTGTTAAAGCCAATGTTGTCTACAAAAGAATATGGCTGAAGGTCAAGTGCAATCATTTCAGCTACAAGACTTGTGATTTTTTTGGCAACTGGGTGAGAGTCACAAAACTTGTCATTGGTTTCATCAAAATTTGAAGATCCTAGTAATTCTGTGCTCAGTGGCATGTGATTATCCGTAGATGAGGATAATACTGTCTCTGAGACATCAGTTTTCAATACATTGTTATGAAACCGCTGCAAATGTCTTAGAAGGCAACTTGTGCCTAGATTTGTTGGCTTTTTCCCCCTACTTATTGTACGTCCACAGTGCATACATATTACTTTTGTTGAATCTGCAGAACAAATTGAAAAGTGATTCCACAGTTTTGAGGTCTTCTTACTATTGACAGGAAATATAATTTGATTATCATGTGTAACCATTGTAGGCAAGTCAGTCAACTTTGAGGATGAACATTCTGCAGAAGCCAAAGTGGCGTAAGGAGAATTTGCCAAACTCACATCAAGAAAGCTCTTCTGGTTTCCAATTACATCAGGATGGCGTCTATATAGATGTCTCATCAAGCAGCTTGTGCCCACATCTCCTTTTTTACCACGACTTATCATACAACTGCAGTATCTACATACTGCTTTTAGACTGTCTGCAGGTGACAGTGAAAAGTGATGCCAAACTTCTGATTTAAGCCTTTTCATAATCCTTTTATTTTGCTGAAATACAGCAGTAGGTTCAAATATTAGTGGACCTAATCCCTCACACTGTTTCTCAGGAGAGGAAACAAAGGAGACTTCACCTATATCATCAGAAGATGACAGCATTGAGTCTTCCACTAGAGCATCTCCAGAAGAGAGATTAGTATGGATCTCCTCAGAGATTCTGTCTGGAGAAGAAGAAACAGAAGTTGATTCTTTCATTAGTTTTCCAGGAGAGGATGACATAGAATTCAGATCACTCTCTGAGGGTAATAAAGAAGGCAACAGAGTTGGAGGTGTGGTGTAAAGAGGTGGTATGCTGGTACCACCCCCATTCTCTTGCAGGACAATGGAACGATGGGCTCTCCACATGTGTCTTATTAAACAACTTGTTCCCAGGTCTTTTCCATTTTTTCCTCTACTGAATTCATTCATGCAGTGGATGCAAACAGCTTTAGAATTATCTAGAGGCGACAAATAAAAGTGTTTCCAGACAGCAGATCTCCTTCTGGAACCTGATGTGCTCTTTGGAATTACAACAGTTTTTTCTGCTACATTCTCCACAGTGTCATCATACTGGTTGTTGGGTAGCTGTGGAGATGACCCAACCATGACTTCTTCTTTGCTGCACTTTTCAGAAGCTGAGAGATCTGATATTTCTTCAGAAGAAACAATAGAAACAGATTCCTCAATTATTCGATCTGGAGATGGTATTTTAGAAGCCATTTTCTTGACCAGTTTTATAGGGGATAACATAGAACTCAGATCTCCAACATCTGCGGACTGAGGTGGCAGTAACAACGTAGGTGAAGAAAAGGAGGATATACCTGGCATACTTCCATTTTCTTGAATTAGTACAGTGGGATGGGCTCTCCTCACATGTCTCATGAGACAACTTGTACTCAGGTCCTTTTCATTTTTACCCCTGCTAAATTCTTTCATACAGTACATACATATTGCTTTAGTGCTATCTCTAGGAGATATAAAAAAATGGTTCCAAGCAGGTGACTTTTTTCTGGAGCTTATGTTTCTGCTAGAAAGAAGGCTTTGTGTCACAGCTTCCATTGCTACATCATACAGCGTACTACTATACTGAGAAAAAAGAGATCCATAATCATCTTCATTTTCTGTAGCTAAATATTTGCCAGGGTTGTTGGTAATGAAGTTCTTTTCTTTGTCTTCTTGTTCATCACTGCTGTCCGCATGTTTGAAATCATCTTGTTCTGTCTTGATATCCATTCTTTCTAGAGTACAGTTAATGCTGTCTTCCTCTTGCTCTACTTTTACGTTATTTATTTTTCCCAATACAAAATTACCTTCCATTCTGGGGGAACCTGCTTTACTCTTGTCCATAGATGACAAATTCTTCTTGCCAAGTCTTCATTTGTTAATAAATATAGATAATTTAAAAGATTATTTAAAATTTGATTAAAATGATGTATCTTGTATACTGAACGCACAAACACAAATGTGCGTATGTGTTAAAATAATCTCTGGTTTATGAATTTTGTATCCGTGTTGTGCATAAGCAAATATGATTAGTCATAAAAATGCATTTAAAAATTATAGACTTAATTAATGGAATCTCATTTTTTCCCCAGGATCAGGACATTTCAGGTCATAGATGAATGTTCTCAAAGACAGCTACTGTTAAATGCTTCATGTTGTAGACATAATCCTAAAAAATGAATGTTCTCTTTTCTTGTTGAAGGAAGCCATTCTGTTCATCTTGACTGGGCAACTGCGATTCTTTTGCACCATCTAGAAATAAAAAAAATCAAAAGACCAAGTTGACTAACACACTCTAAATACCTATAGTAAAGGTGAACTGAAAACATGCACTAAGTGTTCTGTTTTGGTTTGGTTTTTTTTTTTCCTTAGAGATAAAAACAATTCAGTGTACTACTGAAAAAAAGGAAAAAAACAACATTTACTCAATACATTTATTGTGGGCAAATATGTATCTACACACGCAGCTCTGATTCAGCTTTGACAAAATCTAGAGTTCAAGCATCACTTTTGTATTGCTTGGACATACCTATGCCTCATCCTACATCCTAATTCAACCACTGCATAATCATATATACACACACATATATATACAAACATATGCTATATAGGTGTCTATATTTACAGATACATATGAAGACAAGCAGGTATTTAGTCATGTTAGCACAGAAATATGTACTTAAAACCAAACGTTAAGTTATACTTTTGTACATGTGAGCCCTTCACTACTGACAGCAGTGTTTAAAAATACAGTATTTTACCAGAAACCTCTGTAAGGGTGTCCAGCATTTAGTCACACTAAAGTCTCTCTGTTCCTCTGACCGTAGTCTGACATGGTTATATTCATGCCATAACGCTCCCAGACAACACCATACTACAGAAACAAGCTACTTTTAGAGTTTCATGATTAAAAACTGAAATGCTTAATTTAGGATAACTGGGCTATGCAAATGCCATATATACACTGAGGTCTCCCAAAAGCCTAACATCACTCAGAAGCAAAGATACATACAGTTGCATACACTGGTGCTAGTACAGCACTGCCAGCTCAAGTTCCTCATGTACCGAGGGGTTATACTAGAAAGCCCATTAACACCAAGATAGCTCATTCCCCTCATGGGTAAAGATTTCCACCACCACCAATTCCAGTACAAAAAGTAGGTTTTTGAAGTATAGCTGCACATAAAGCATATGGCAACGAAAGGCTCAAAAACCAGAACCCCCCCAGCGGCCCCACACAAATCCGAGGAAACTGTCTGCATTTGTCAGCCACTTTTTTTCTTTTTACTACAGTTCTATCAGAATTCTAAATTTTGCCAAACCCTTTCTCACTTATTCTCTTGTGTCATTAATGTAGTTACTGGTACCTTCATTCAAGATAAACATTTTTTGACCACACAGCTAATGCTACACTATGCACTCCAATTTGTGCAAACTGGATTTTATGGGACTCTTTCTCCCCAGCTGAAGACAAAACACAAACTTGAATTAGTTATTTTAAAAACTTCTCACACAATTTTCATGTGTTACTCAAACACAAGAAGGATTTCAGCATACAAAAGATGAAATTAGCCATAACTACAAGATGCATTAAAAAAAGTCTAGGTTGTACTCACGCAGACATTTCCCCCCTGTATCAAGACCAATGTCGTATTAGCTTTGTAACCTATTTTAATTAATATTTCTCTGAGGTCTGTTTACAAGAGAGATCAGAAACATTTATTTTCTGTGGATTTCAGACTTCTAGAAAGCCTACTGTAGCAATAACTTACTTTCTTTTCCAGTGTAGGGGAAGGGGCAGGGAAAAGGAGGCACAATCACCTTATTGCAGCTATTTTAAGAAAAAGGAGATGGAGCCATCAGAACTTGCAAAGAGGAAGGCAGTAACTCTGGTTTTCTTTCTGTGAAAGTTTTAGTATTGTGCTCTGCCTTTCTCTCTCCTTCTCAGAAAAAAAAGATGTTTTCAGACACCAAAAGATACGAGGGTTGAGCATGAAAAACATCAGTTCTAACGAAGGGAGAGACTTGAAGAGAAACCTTAAATTTCCAGAAGAAATGTAACACACTACACAGTACTTTCCACAGGTTTGTGAAATCACATTTAAGAACAACTCTGGCAGCAGAGATTAAATTTACATCACTCAGTATAAAATTAAATGAAACACAAGTTAGCGATCACACACGTATTGATGATATGGAAGCATGTGCATCTGGGACAAGAGAGAGAGTGTAAGATAGTCAACGTTTTTAATAGAAATCAATCTAAGAGGTTGGTTTTTTTTTTTCATCTTTATTTCGATCTAATCTATGAATTTGGAACTTGTACTGCAAACAGGAGAAGCAAGAACATATAATATGCTGTTGTGACTTAGGATCACAGAATAGAAAGGCTCACAACCAAGTGACTCCATGCAGAACTTACAGAACATAAATTATGCATTTAAGTGCCAAGTTACAGTAAGCACATTACAGATTCCTAGCTAGATTTGCACAAAATGCGTGCATGCATCCATCCATTGGCATCGGGTTCTGATGAAGTTGTGCACAATTTGCTTGCCTCAAAACAGATAATCACATCTCTAGCCTGCAATTGCTGTAATTTCTTAACTATGCAAAAACAATTCTAGGCTTTGAACAGAAAAATATATGGAGACGCTTCACTTGTCCCTGTCCTGATAAGCAGTTACTGCTTAACACAGCTAAGCACAAGGTAGCTGTGATGGGAAGATTTGGAAACCTGATAAATGAGATCAGTTGCAAACTTCATAACAATACTTAACTAGATTGGCATTCATCAACAATACCCATGGCCAATGGTTAAGTTCTTAAACATTATCAGCCATTATCTTTACATATTCAAACAGTTAGGCCCTAATCATCTTCTTCTAAATTAGCTTTGAGTACACAATACCACTGAGCTGATGGCATATAGTTAAATACTGACAGCTATGGTCCTTGATGGTCTTAGTTGCTGAAGTTGAGGTGAATAGGTGAGAGAGCTATTTGGACTCTGAAGCAGGAACTGTAGTGGTAGACTTTTTTCTTCCCTATTTCTCCTTACTGTCGCTGGGTGTTTCTAATGCTCATAATCTCCTCCACCAAAAAAGGGTGTGCGAAGCAATCTCATCTGCTCCTGACACTATTAATCTTCTTTTCTTTAGGATCAGAAAGCATTCTGGTTCCACAAGAAATCTTTCTCCTTATTCTGTATCCTTTGTTTTTGTTTGCAGATTTTACTACTTGAGTTGTTGATGCATGCCTTTCTGTCCCCCATTTCTGGAATTAAACATAGGTCTCCCTTTGCAGCTACATATTATTTCTATACTTATGCTTAGCTGTGATATAAAATGCTTTAATGCTGTTAGGAGGGTTATGCTATTAGCAGTGTTACAAAATGCTTATATACTGTGGCCAGTTACACCATTTTAGAGTACTCATGACTGAGTTTAGGACAATAAAACATTAATTGTATCTTGTCCACTTTATGGCTCTTACAGGTCGCTGGCTACACAGCACATACTTTTCTGGGCATTGTTGCCGCCTTCTAGGAATGCAGAATAGCTGAGATTTTTAGAGGAGACTCGTTAGGGCTGCTAGATCACTTCCTGGGAAATCCCCGAAGTTGGATGCCCTTTAGAAGATTTTGCATGGGGTTTTTTTTCCATTTTCTCTCAAACATCTAAGCATGATCTCTATTGCCTTAAGTGTTACTACATCATAGTGTAAAATTAAGTCAAGCTCTCTCCCTTCAAACATCCTTGAGGGTTCAACCCAAATTTTCTTTAGAATACAGTCCCCAAAATGCTTAAGGTTAGAAAGCTAGATATGTTTTTCATCTCCTCCCTCCCATGCCAGCTCTATATAAGAGGCAATCTGTTTTAAAAACACACAAAACACTCCATCCTATTTTAAAAATTTATAGTAACCTAGAACAAAGTATGAATTTGGTTATGGCCACCTTTACATAGCTTATTTTCCCTTGGACACAAGCTACTCGAAGTTAAGGACTACTGCTAAACAGGATATTCAAGGAGAAGGAAAATGTTTTCAAAGGTACAAAAGGCTACAGGCAGCGAGCTCAGAATTAAAATTATCTATGCCTTTGAAAGCTCCTCAATTAGATACAGACAAGCAGCGAAACAGAGAGAATTAAGAGTCACCTTGCAACAAAAATCTTCAAAGAAAATAAATGGAATCAGAGAACAATTATCTACTCAAATGTACTACTCTAGACTATTAGCTCCTGAGCGGCTGTAGACAGTCAGTGGTTTGCTGTGGTAAGAAGCCTGCAGAAACATTTTATAGGATTTTCCATTCAAAATGGGATTACTGAAAGAGCATGATGGTTGACAAGAAATGTCAGGAGAATGTCACTGATCCAAAGAGGGCCACAGAGGACTGCCATGACCAGAAGAAACCACTCCTGAAGGAAGGGGGTAAAGAAAGAGGAACACTGGTGTCTTGGGATTGCAGAGACATACATTAACATACAGAGAAGTATGAAAAGTATGCAAGAACACTGAACCATGAGCAGATTATTTGTTTGTAAAGCAGATAGTGGCCTGCAAGCTTTAAACAACTTTAGATTTTAGGTTGAGTAGTCAGGCAATAATCATGGACTTGATTATACTACAGAATCTTAGTGCAAATAATGGTCTAGAGAAAGTAGTTTAAAACAAAAAAAACTTTAAATTATTATACAAACGCATATAGTGTAAATACAAACACATCTCTGCAAAATGCAAGAGTAGTTTCAAGAAAGAAGCAAAATGTGAAAGACAAAGTGAAAGCAAAACTATTTACTAGCTTAAAAAAAAAATCAAAAGTAGTGAGATTTTGAGCGTAGGAGGTATATAAGAACACATTAAAAACAATTTGCACAAACAGATGTCAGTTCTAGAATGAATAGTGCTAATCTTGTTTATTTTTGGAAATCTACAGCATCATTAAGAACATAAAGTAAAAAGAAAATCCCTAAAAGCAAGCAATACAAGCAATAAGGAGGAGATGTTTTAAGAAATTATTATTAGCTTCCACTTCAATGGCAGGTATTATGCTAATTAAGGAGTATTTGCTAAAAACAAACAAACAAACAAACAAACACCCCACACTACACAAAAAGCAAACAAAAAGCTCCAAAAAAACTGAAAACAAAAC